GATCTATCCGGACCTGGAACCCGCATTTTAACTCTGCGAACCCCACTCTTTCTCAACTCCCACTATTATAATGATGCGCACGCAAAGTTGGTGAAGAAAGAGAGAGAGTGCGCACGCAACTCACCATATTCTCTATACCTAATCCCACTCTTCCTCAACTCCAACTATTACAATGATGGGCACGCAAAGTTGGTAAAAAGAGAGGGAGAGTGCGCACGCATCTCACCATATACTCTGTACTCTTGACTCCGGTTGTCAAGAGGGTGGAAAGTGGGAGGGAAGCTTACAAAGACATATGTCAATGAGTGGGTGGTAGAAGGTGACCAAGTGAAAGGAAAGTGGGTGGGATTCTCAAAAATAATTTATTAATTTTAATTGTACTTCTGTGAGTGCCGAAGGTATTATCCGGCTGTATATGAAAGAAGAACTCTCCACGCGTTAGATTCTGCATGCAGTACGTAGCTCCCCATCTATCTCTCTGCCTACCACTCTCACAATCCTTTCACTGAACACTCACGTTACGTTGCAACTGAAAGCGCATCATGTCCAGCTCATTGGGCCCTCTCATGACACCCACTCCCAACCTCCCACAGTTCCGCGCAGTATCTCGCGAACACTTTGTCTCACGAGGTTCTAATTATGATTTTTAAATTTTTGGGACCCTATATGTTTATACACAGGAGAGACATATACAAATTAGTGGGTGGTGTGTAGACAAGAGGGTGAAATGTGAGTGGTAATATGAAAAATAACTTCGGTAAGCAAATTAGGGGGCGGTGGGAGGTCAAGAGGGTGGTAATATATAAATAACATATGTAAATGAGTGGGTGGTAGCGTGTGGCCAACTCGTTTGAGGATTGGTCGGTCCTGGATTTGGACTCTGTAGTGAGCAAAGGGGATGTTTTACTTGAAAGATACGGTCAATACCTCATTTCGTTAGATAACGAGCATTGCGTAAATTCAAAAAGTTTGTTGATTTATCCGAGTCTCTCGCGGGCTCAGGGGACCCAAAAATATCTTATGTCTGGAACCCCATTAAGAACTAAAAGAATTTTTGCGCAGGCTAGACTGTTAAATTTTTACAATTGCAGAATAAACATTGGTAAAATAACGTATAAATTTGATATTAATAGTGGTTGCTCCTGTTGTCGCCAGGGAAATGATGATCCATTCCTTGTTTTTTTATTGCCTTCTTGTAAGCATTTGTGTGAAAGCGCTTGCAGGAGGTGTTTGCGGGTGTGGACGCTGTGGATGGTATGTTGGGTGTTTTATCTTCCGATGACAATTTTGTAATTTAAATATTTATTAAGAGAAATAGTTTTAAATTGTCTTCTGTGTAATGTTCATATTTCATTTTATTTTTTATATTGTTTTTTGTAATAACGTTTCTCCTTTTGTATTGACCTTAAATGGCTTAAAACAAGTGTGAATAAACTAGTTCATGTAAAATATGAAAAATGACATTCAGGTTATCTTATAAATCGGATAATTAAAATTTATAGAACATTGTATTTCGTAAAGATACAAATTATATTAAATGACAATTAGACAAAACTAAATAAAGTAACAGTAGGATATTCGCTAATAGGTCAAAATATGCGTCTTGAAAAACTCTACAAAACTAGAGATAAATATCTATTGGTATGTATGTATACATAGCTTAAAAGATGCGTCTTAAAAAACTCTAAAAAACTGAAGAAAAATATTTAGAGGTGTCCTAACATTTTTATCAAGTTATGCGAAAAAACGATTTTAAAAAATTTTAACATTAAAAAAAGTAATTGTTAATCTTTATTAATATGGTTTAATGTACCGAAAGTACATTTTTAAAAAATGTGATTTTTTGATTCCTGAGGTCGAAAAACATAAAAAAAAATTCAAGTTCCAAAAACTTTGGAATTACAATGCTTTCTCCATGAGAAATCCATTATAATTTGATGAAATAGAAATTCGTCAACTTTAAGAGTAGAGTCTATTAGAAATCTGACATTTTTAAATTCTGTCATTAATCCATTAGTATAAATAGAAATTAAGTGAAAATATAATTACAACAAATTATATTTCGCTTTCAATATAATTCTAACATTTTAAACATAAATTTCTTTTTAATTTGTACATTAAATTATTACCATAAATACTAATTATGTCAAATTACTTTTATTATAAATTATATTTAGTTGAAACCAACATTATAACATTTCATATTTTGACATCATGAAAATTCAGTTAAATAAAGATTAGGACAAGTAAAAATTATAGAAATTTAAAATTATACAAAATATAAATTAGATCAAAATATAATTCTTTCGCATGTAAGTTGATTATATTAATATTCGAAACAATAACATTTCGTTCAATTTACAATTCATGGAAATAGAGGTTATAACATCTGTCAATTCGATACTTGTGAATTCGACCTAATAGTCTTTTGCAGTTTTCATTTTGAGCTAAAAGTCTGCAACTCGCTCGTTATGATGCTAGTTATTATTATATTTGTACTACTTCAGTGCTACCACAAGGAGTGGTAGCTCAACCAAAATGATGTTGTCTTTACATTTAATGTCTAGTAGCTTTGAGTTACAATAGATGATAGGGAGGAATGTCCAAAAACTTTTCCGTGTGTAAGTGGAAAGGCAATTATTTAGTAGTGAAATATTATAAAAAACGATCCCCATAAGACAGATAGGAAATAACGTTCTCATATAGAAATAAATGGTCAAGTCTTACCAAGTTAACTTAATTAAAGAATTAAAGATAAATAAATAAACCTTCCAGAGAGTACAAGTTCTTGAACGAAACTTGTCACGGTATGATAAGCTTGGCATATTACATTGTAAGCTTTGCAAAATTACATTGCAATATAGGGCAAGGTTCCGTTTTTTAAAATTCAAAATTTCTCTGAAATTCATTGCTCAGGGTTCTCCGATTCGTTGCTTAAGACTCTCAAGTCGGTTTTCAAAAATTTTTAATGTATCCATTCTGTCAGACAAATATATTAAAATTCGTTTTTAATATTTTTCATTTCATATCTTTCATAGATAGTTTAGAGCATTTTATTTTAATATTATGATAATATTGAGATTTTAATGATCTGACTTTTTATAGCCTAAGGATTTGCTCGCCGGATGGAGTCCGGGTACATATTTTATCTCGTTTAATAGTTTTCTCAACAGATCTATAGTTTAAATACAGTAATACCCCGGACTTACGCGATAGGTGGGACCGAGCGACGACCGTCTAAGTCGAATTCGCGTAAATCGGAATTTAAGTTTTCATATAAAATAAATAAAATAATTTAGAAGAAATATGTTTAATAGAATATCAAGTAATATAACTATTTACATTTTTATGAATAAAAACAAGGTAAAAAACAATAATAAATTATTTATTAATTAATAGTTAATTCGCGCGGCCATAAAAAAACCGCATATCTCCGAATTCGCGTAAAACGGGGTAGCGTAAATCGGGGTTTTACTGTATTTTAATTATGTGAATTGTGATTTCGGAAAGGATAGGTTGAGCTCATTGAAAAGAAAAATTATTTAAATCTTCGTAAGAAAATAAATTATAAAAATATATATGTTGTAGGCAAGCAGAAGAATCAGTTATTTAGCTTAATTCCTAGGCAGTAAGCTAAATTTAGGCAAGTAGAAGAATGAACGAGTGGAGGATGCAAAATTCTTCTATTTGCCTGGATTCAGTTAGTCATTTAGGTTACTGGCTAGTCAATAAGCTAATTGTCTAATGTGTTTTTGGCAAATAGAAGAATAAATGATTTGAGGACTTCATTCTTCTACTTGACTATATTCAGTTAGTCATTTAGCTTTCTGCCTAGTCAATAAGCTAATTGCCTAAAGTGTTTTTGGCAAATAGAAGAATGCACGATTTCAGTGCAAAAAGTAATATAATAATGATTTTCACTGTTGTAATATATATTTTAAAAAACTGATCAGTTTAATATATATTGTTAAAAAATTGTTTTGTCATAATATACTTTTTAAAAAAATAATGTGAAATTATTACTTGTTACACTGCTTCCCCATAAAGAATTTTTTGTGATCAATTTATGGTAACTTATTTAGTATTATAATAATTTTATATGTGTGTTAAGTTGTATTTTTTAGGAGTTTGCAGAGATAGATTTTTATCATCAATAACTTCATAATATTTTACAATAAAAGGTTAAATAATAGGTCAATTGAGTCGTTTTTAAATATTCTCCAAGTTGTTCATAATATTTTTATAGATACATAAAGATTTTTTAATAAATAATGCAAAAAAGATAAGTTTTTTAATATTTTCAATTTCAAAATGTTAATAATTCTGGATAAAATAACAGTAGGATATTCGCTAATAGGTCAAAAGGTGCGTATTGAAAAACTCTACAAAACTAGTGATAAATATCTATTGGTGTGAATACATTTTTTTAAGTTATGGGAAAAAACGTTTTTCTTTAATTTTTAAAAATTCAATAACTTTGGATAAAATATCAGTAGAATGTACGCTAATAGCTTAAAAGATGCGTCTTAAAAAACTCTACAAAATTACACAAAACTATTTATAGATGTCCTAACATTTTTTTAAAGTTATGAGCAAAAAACAGTGTTTAAAAAATTTTTAAATTGCAAAAAATAATAGTTAGTCTTTATTAAAATGGCTTAAAGTACTTTCATTATTTGTCCGACAGTAAGACTTACAATTTTAAAAAAATTTATATCTTTAGCTCTTATAGTATTCGAGATATTGAAGAAAATGTAATGTATATATATACACACACATGAAGAGACATTTTTTAAAAATGTGATTTTTATAATAAATAAGTTTTACACATCCAACTACAGTCCGGGGCTGGCGCCCCCTTAACACGTTTCTGAATGTCCCGTACGTTCATAAGAAGTAGGAAAAAGTGTTGATTTAGGTACCTAACATGAAAAAGTTTAGAAGAGTGATTTTCATGACATGTATTACAATACACTTTGAATATAGAAATATTTTCTTACCCATGTAAAAATTGAGAAAAACGAAAATGCAATAGCTCCTTGTACACTATTAACACCATCTCCGTTCGGTGGAGGATTTGATTTATTCCATGCATTCGTCAAATAACAAAATCCTACAAAGTACAGGAATGCCCACAGACCAGAAAATCTGTAAATAAATAAATGATTACATATGAGAATTCTCTATCATTCGAATTTTTATATTTAATTAATATAAGAGAATACAATTAATGATTTTTCGATAGGGTCCTACCCATATCCAAAACCGCACAAAAAATCAAGGGGTTTATTACTAAGAATTGTTTAAGAATTATGTGAGCATTATATGACACATTCTTACGAATTCAAACAATGTATGTTCAGTGAATTCAGACACATCTATACTTTGTAAGAAACTAAACGATATCTTGTTACTATATCTCAAAATGCTTAATAATTTAATTATTTAACCCTTTGACTAAGTACGTCTATAGACGTACAAAAAGTACCATATATACATCACACTGACGTTATTTAAGGTATTTTGAACGCTGAATCCGAATTTAGAGTCAAATTTTAAAAATTGGAAAACCCAAATCCAATATAGCTTCTCAAAAGTAATCTATTTTGAAGTTCACTTGTAACTCCTAACTGAGGTTGTTTTTTGAGTTACTAATTACGAATATGAACTTAGTTTCAGATAAACCTCGTTACTTGGGAGTTTTCGGGGCCACTAAATTCGAATCTGATGTTACTTTTTCAAAATTCAAAATAGCGGATCCAATATGTCGGACGACAAAAATTATAATTGATCAGATTCGCTTGGAACTCGTTATTTGGGAGTTTGAAAGGTCGCTGAATTCGAATCTGATGTAAGTTTTTCAAAATCCAATATGGCGGACGACAAAATTAAAGTTTATTAGATTTTTTTATTTTCTTAATATTTCTGTTAAAGAGTTAGTACTACATCTTTTTTCAAGAAAATCGATTTTCTAAAAACTGCATATTTTTGTAGTAGATATATGTAGAAATGCTATGGAAACTATTATTTTGGTTGGAAACTTCGGTAACATATTGAAAAACGGGGTAGAATGCAAGTCACGCGCTCATGGAGCGTACTCTTGGCGAGTACAATGTATGCTTTTATAAATATATACCTATATAAATATAAATATATATCAAATTACACATATATGTATATAAATATGTATATAAAAGCATATATACATGTATATAATGTATCCTGTCGTGTAAGGGGGTATTTTCTTGAAAAAGACATGTTTTCGTAATTTCGCTTTTTCTCTAAACAACGTTTTTTGACCTGGCGGACATCATAAAAGAAAAACTATTGCACCGATTAAGCTAAAATTTTTATGGCTTATTCTACACATATACCGCTATCGTCGGAACTAAAATCATAATTTTTCATTAATATTTAACCATTTTTTTTAACAATTTAAGTTTAAAAAACAATATCAAAAATGAAAAAAGTCCGCAATTTTGTTTTTTTCATCGAAAATAGTTGATTGTAGTTCCGACGATAGTAACGAGCTTACTTTTCAAGAAAATATTAAAAATTTAATTTTTCGATGACCTGAATTGAACATATCGTGTCCACTAATCACAAGTAGGGGTATTTTCAGGCGGCCATGACAGCAAGATAATCCATAATTCACGCGGGGGGCTTGCAACTTTGAACGCGCCTCGGGGCGCGCGAAGAGCACTCCGTCGCGCTACGCGCTCCTAATGTTATGCTGATTCTACATTGGCTGTGCAAACGTGGGATACAAATGCGGCACATCTCCATTTAATTTAATATTGTCCATACACTTTGTGTCGAATTATTTTTTTGTTTTACTCATTGGGTCATCATGGACAAGTTGATGCATGAGTAGTTTTATAATTTTTTACTTAATATATACCTAATATCGGCTTCACAAGAAAAGAATGCTTTATTGTAACAATTCATTAAAATTTTAATCAATTTCAAATTTAATTTTTATTATTTTCAAGACATTTTTGTCTATTAAAGTTGAAGTTTTGGGATACAAAATTTTATGAGATTCTGCGTCTTTATTACCACTAGCGATGTGTCCTTGCTCGCTAACGCTCGCTCGGGTGAAATTTTTTTTTATTTGCTTAGTTAATTTTTTCTATTTATTTTATGTATAAATATATTATTTATTTTTATCTGAAGTGCTTATGTACTTAGTCCCTTAGTAGTTAATTTTATAATTAATAATGTTACGAATCAAGAAAATTATTTAAACTTTAAAGTAACCAATAAAACTAATTTAATTAAAATCGGTGGACTTTCGAGATGGTCCTAAATTTATTGGTTCTCGGAGGTCTAAACTGCCAAGGCCTGAAGGGACTTTTTTTTATTTATGGAGATCGTTACGTCTAAATGCTGATATTTTTAATTGATGTAGAAAATATACTGTGACTTCTTCTTATAATTGAGCGGCTGGATCGTAGAAGGGCACGTTATTAAAATTATCATTTTAAACAATAAACCAAAAAGTTATTTATTTTTTATTGAGACATTGCAAAATTCGTGAACTGTAATTTTCACTATGCGAGGAAGTCGCGCATATTTTGAGCATCAAAAATCTTCCAGTGAGAAAGTTGTTCATTATAGTCTACAAAAGTTTATCCAAAAAAGTTATAGTCCAATTTAACAATTAGTTAACAAATGATGAGTGTTAAAAGTCATCGACGGCTGAACGTTAACTGCGTGTGTGGTTCTTCCTTAAAAATAATTTTATGATTTTGTTGATGAAATTCAAGGTCAACTTTTAATAAACATATAATATCTGGAATGTATTGTGTGCAATATTTTGATTTAATTTTTTTTGCCTAATTCAAAAAAAGTTTGAATATGAAATGAGCAGTGATTGGTTTATGTGAGCTTCACTCTTCATTCAGATTTATGATCAAAAAGACGAGATAAGAGGGCAAATGACATATATATATATAAGAAATATTGTATTTAAAGAAATTTTAGATTCGTATACTTAACTGTCTTCATAATGAAATGTTATAAACAATCTAACATACTATATCATGTCGACTGTAAAAATGTAATGAATTTACAAAAATTACTATCATAAAAGGCAGCGCTGAACAATATGGGCTGCGCCAAATTAATAAGTATTAAACAATTATTAAATGTGGTAAAAAAATCTCACGGGCTGTAAAATACCAGCTGCACAATTATTATAAAAATTACTGAATTAAATATTGTAAAAGACAGCGCTGAATAATATCGGCTGCGCCTAATTAAAAAGTATTAAACAAATATAAAAGTTTGTAAACAATTCTCATGCGCTGTAAAATGCCAGCTGCATACTTATAAAAATTACTGAATTAAATATTCTGAAAGACACCGCTATATAATATCGGCTGCGCCTTATTAAGAACTATTAAAACTTCTTAATCATTATCTGCTGTGCTGCATAGTGTCGGCTGCACACTCACAATAAAATGTACTGTAATAAGTATAATAAAAACTGCGCTGTATAATAACGGCTGCGTCTGATAAAAAAATAATAAAAATTTCTAAAACATATATGATACGCTGAATAATATTGGCTGCATAGGAACCATGAAACGTACTAAAAAATTATCATAAAAGGCAGCGCTATATAACATCGGTTGCGTCTTATTAAAAAATAAAACAATTAATAATTAGTAAACAACGTTATTAGAACAAATAATAAAATGATATATGATATATTATTTAGATTTTTTACGTATTATTATTTAGATTTTATTCTCCTTTACCTAACCTATATACGCAATAATAAAAGATATCAAAGTGGTTTCTTATGTGTATTTATTTAATGATCAATTTCAAGAGTACCAAAAATATTTAACATATTTTTATTTAAAAAAAAGTTATCATAAAAATCTAATAATAACATTAAAATCATGTGAAATGAAAAAACCCCTAACATGAAATGTAAAGTTCAAAAAAAAACTTAAAAAAATAAATAAATTGTTACTAATAATTATAGTTACTAATAATAATAATAATATATAATAATAATATATAATAATAATAATATAAAAATAATAATATACATGTGTATCTACTTTGTGTATATGTGTGAGTATACATGTGTATGTACTTTGTCTATATGTGTAAGTATGCATGTGTATCTACTTTGTGTATATGTGTAAGTAAATGTGAAATTGTTACTAATAATATATAACATAAGCATAAGTAATAGTTGGTTTTAATTAAAAATAAAAAAATTTGCCTGAATGGTGTCGGTCGGTCGGTCGGTCGGACTTTGTTTTAATATAATAAAGGATTTTGAAGGAAATAAATAAATAAATAAGAAATTAAAAAAAAGAATTGTAATTATTTCAAAATTTAATATATATATATATATATATATACTAGGGGGCTATGCCCCCTGCGCGCTTCGCGCGTCAACCTTCACCCCCTCCTCTCTTCCCCTCCCCTACCCTAAATTTAAAGGTTAAGATCGTTTCAAGACTCTGAATATAGCCGCAAGTCCCCCCCTTCTCTTCTACCCCCCTTCTCTTGACTTGCGGCTATATTCAGAGTCTTAGAACAGCGGCTTCGCGCGCCAACTCCCATCCCCCCTCCTCTCTTCCCCTCCTTTTCCTCTCCCCCAAACCTAAATTTAAAGGTTAAGATCGTTTCAAGACTCTGAATATAGCCTCAAGTCCCCCCTCCCTTTTCTTCTACCCCCCCTTCTCTTGACTTGCGGCTATATTCAGAGTCTTGGAACAGCGGCGGCGTTGGCGGCGATATCTTTTTGTAATATAGGTAGATATATATATATATATATATATATATTACATATATTATATTATATATAATTTTTTTTAATTATAAAATATTATTTTATATCAATGTCATATATGTCATATGTATATGTATATATATGTATATGTGTATGTACTTTGTGTATATGAGAGATTCTTTTTCAATCGCCCCAGCCCTAAAAGTCAATGTTCTGGGATTGGCTTCATACTTTGGTAAATTGTTGTTTTATATGATAGTAATAAATCCCTAAAATATAAACTCATTAAAAAAATATTTGTAGAAAGTAGAGGGGGTTGAAGTTTTGACGTTAAGGGTAACATTGTCATTTTCAAATCCGTATAACTATGACAAAAGTTAATGAATTT